CCAGGATAAGCTGCTCCATCACCTTTCCCGGGATGGAGGTGAGGCTGACCAGCCTGTATTTCCCTGGGTCCTCCTTCTTGCCCTTTTTGAAGATTGGAATGACATTGGCCTTTCTCCAGTCCTTGGGCACCTCTCCTGTCCTCCAGGACCTCTCAAAGATGATGGAGAGTGGCTCAGCAATGACATCCGCCAGCTCCCTCAGCACTCGTGGGTGCATTCCATCGGGGCCCATGGATTTGCGGACGTCCAGACCGCTTAAGCGATCCCTCACGCAGTCCTCCTCAACCAAGGGAAATCATCCTCTCTGTGGGCTTCTTCTCTTATCTCCGGGGCCTAGGATTCCTGAGGGCCTGCCTTGGCACTCAAGACTGAATCAAAGAAGGCATTCAGTAGCTCTGCCTTCTCTGCATCCTCCGTCACCAGGACACCCGCCTCATTCAGCAGCAGTCCCACATTGTCCCTAGCCTTCCTTTTACTGCTGATGTAGTTGAAGAAGCCCTTCTTGTTGTTTTTGACATCCCTTGCCAGCTTCAATTCCAGGTGGGCTTTGGCCTTCCTCGTCGCATTCCTGAACACTTTGACCACATTCATGTACTCTTCCCAAGTGGCCTGCCCCTCTTTCCACATGCCATGGACCTTTCTCTTCTGCCTGAGCTCCGCTAGAAGCTCCTTGTTCAACCATGCAGGTCTCCTGCCTCCTTTGCTCGATTTCTTTCTCAGGTGGATGCACCGCTCCTGAGCGTGGAGGAAGTGACGTTTAAACAGCGACCAGCACTCTTGGACCCCCCTGCCTTCGAGAGCCCTGGCCCACGGGATTCCTCGAAGTAGCTCCTTGAAAAGGCCAAAGTTAGCCCTCCTGAGGTCCAAGGTTTTGATCCTGCTTATCAAAATCACATTCCCTGGCCCTGTATTCAAACGAGCTGTTGCTATTTCCCATCCACATGTAATTTCCTTTCGTTCTCCTGCCTGTTACATGGTCTTTTAGGGGTAGATGGAGCACCCACACTTAAGCCCCATTTAATATTCTATCATATCTTCCCTCAGGAAATTTTACTCCTTTCTTTCTTAGTAGATGCTCATCTTTTCCTCAGAAACTCCCCTGAAGATGGCCGAATGCATCAGCATGTACGGTAGTTTGTACATTTTTTTTCTTCTTTCTTGTGAAAAGTCCCCAACAGGGATGTCAGAAGATTACAAGCAATACATCAAGTTTTAAGAAAGCAACTGCTGCTTGAAAACACCAGAAAAATTTAACCACAAGGTTTAAAAAGTTCAGAGACATGTTCTCCCAGTTGTACATCCTTTCAGCCATCTAATCTGAACCTTAATAAAAGACAATGAAAAGAATGGTGTTGTAGAAAGTAGTCGTGCCTGGGCCTTTAGAGTGAAGGCATAGGCAAGAGTGACTCAAGTATAAGTACGTTGTACTAGATTCTTCCCATCAGAACACCTTTAATGCAGACATGCAAAGTAAACACACTGCCACTGGATTGCCATTAGCATGGACAGCTATGGAACCACTAAAACCATTACAAATAGGACACAAGAGCATCGTAATTTATAAGAAGCCTGGTTACACCCCTGAATCTCATACATGACTTAAATTTCTGCAATGATATGACAACAGCAGTTTGTAACTGGAATAAAGATTCAAAGATTGTCTCCAAGCTGAAGTTGTACTGTTGCAATTATGCTAGTGTCAGGGAAACAGCACAGAATCCCACTGAAAAGTGATGCTGTACATCACCATACCTTATTCCGGAATTAAAGGAGAAGAATAACAGTAGCATCATAAAACAATATACTCATATAAAATTGCATCTGCATAGCAGGATATACCAGTGTGACTATTTTGGTTAAATGTCATTCCCTTCGCTGAAATAGTTCCATTGGTATGATCATCTAAGTACAGATCAGACTTTGAATGGTAACTACTACAAAACAGTCCCATGAGAGAGAAACGATTATATTTGGTTCTGTGGAAATAGACTGCCTTTCAGAATAATACTTAAATATCATCGAGTATATTGTCATTTGTTTTATGTAAACAAAATCTTAATAAAAAGTGTAAAAGTTTAAATGACTAACACAGTGACTCATTTTCAGTATGACTTAACATTTCTCACATTCAACACTAACAGCGATTATATATGCATACATACAAATTACTCAAAGAGGATCTTTAAGAAAAAGGACATTATAGTTTGTATGTACATCAACCGATCTGGAACAGCAGCGTGGGTGTAATATTGACAAAGCTAATGATGCAAATAACACGTACTATGAAGGTATGAAACTGTGAAAAATTATCAGCTGTTAATTCTTTTCTACTTGTTGTCAGTTCCTGCAAAGGACTAGAAACTAACAATTCTTTGAAGCCTTTTACCCACCTCCATATGATATTTTATTTGGCTCAAAGGAGTGCTTCCACACCTCATAGCACAAAGCCAGAACTGCCTTTTATCCCCAAATTTCAAAATTACATTTAAAAAAAAAGACTACAGGAAGAATGTAATAGAGACACTAGAAAAGGCTTGGGTAAAGGCAGTCTGCCCTCCACCAGGTAACACAAGAGAGTGAGAATTGGCAGACCTCAGCCCCAAAGGTGATGTGGGTCTTGAGACAAAAAGAAGATTCCCCCCAGAAGACAAAATCAGGGAGAAACCAGATAGCAGGGAACATTTCCAAAGACAGTGGCCAACTGTGAGCGACAGCTGCAGAGCGATTCTGGACTCCCAAGCCAGATTCCTGGCTAGAAGAAAAAAGGAAAATACTGAAAGCTACTTACATTATATTGATGATTAGCCACCGGTTTATAGTTTGTGGTTACGGCTTTGTCCAGCTGCTGTGACAGCCTTACAGGTTTAGAAGATTCTTCTATCTGTAATCTGCAAAAGAAAAGAAGTAGCGAATTAATAAAAAGTTCAGGGAAGCACACACTCAAAATGAATTCGAAAAACCTGCAAGTATCAAAGGTCAGCTGCAAATAAATCATAAGGCAAAACAGATGCAATCTTCTGAATCAAGTTTTTCCTCCTCTATTTTTGCTTGAGGACACTGTGGATTATTACAATACTATATGCTACAGAAGATACTGAAATACTAAAACCCAAGCAACTGTGAACGGAAGATACTAAAATCCATGTCTGAACACAAATTTTATTCCAAAAGCCTGACACTTAGGTGGAAAAAGAGCCCATGATCTTAAAAACAGATAAAACCCAACCCAAATGAACCCAGAATCTCCCAGCTTACTCGGCTGAAGGCTGAAAAAGCTTTCAATCCACCTCTGCTGTATCCCAGGGCAATTGAAGATTGGGATCCATGACCTTCTCTTAGATATTTTAATATAAAAATATAAATTTCTGTGACATTGCTTTTGGCATTACAGCAGAGTAACAGAGCACAAATAACTGTTTTACGAACACTTTTAAAAACATGAAGACAGAGAAATTCACCCGAGTTCAAATCAATGTACAATCAAGTCTCAACCATAGAGTTAACGAAAGGTGACCTTCAGTCCTCTTCAGAAAAGACTCTGAGAAGGTCAGAGGTTGATCACATTTTGTCAAGCTCATCCATAGGTAATTTAAAACTTATATATGATGGTGTAGAAGGAGTGCTCTGTTTACTTCAGGTTTAGCACTCAAGAATTACTGCTTGAAACGACGATGCACAAAACCAAGCTTTAGAAAGGTGCAGGACAACGTCCTTTCAGAAAAAAAAAAGCTTAATGGGACATACAATTAATACTGAGATAAAACTAAGTTATCATCAGTGACGTTATTGTGTTTCCAAAGGTGTATCTTACAGGCAGAAGAGTCAATTTTCACTAAACACAATATAAGACTTACAGCCCAATAAAGGTACAGTGATGTTTGCATCTTTCAGAAGAAAAATGAGTATTATGACCTTAATGCAAATAATAACTACATGTTTCCTAATGTAAAACATAAAAGCGATAAAACGGACATTACTTTAAAAAAGACTGTAAGGGTTTGAGATCACTGATTTCTTTTCATAAAAATACAATGTACATCCAAAAAGGTAAATTTAAATTCAGGATGCTTCTGATTTAACACCTGAACAACCTAAATAAACTACACCTGAGGTAAGCATTAAATTAAGAAATAAATTCTGTAGTTGTAGCAACTGGAAATAAAGCGAGTCATCCTTCACAGCTAGTATTGCTGGACAGTAACTGTCAGAAGTTTTGTCTCATCTATAGATACAAACTTGCTTCCTCTTGAATCTTTGTAGACTTGTCATTCGTTCTACAGTTATAACTAACCTCACGCAACCATTGCTTTGTATTCTACATTTCTAAATCAGGAGGAGGTACAGTAATGCCGCCTTCTGTCCAATGTACAACGTTTTTTCTTAGCTTGAAGGAAAATCAATCAGAAGGTAAGCGAGCAGTGAACATTTTTTACTCCTGTTCTGGCAAATAAAGGTAGAAGTTTTTATCACAAGAGTTTATCTTTTTGCCTTCAATTTAATGAAATGATTTTAAAGACTTTATTGATCTGGTTACCACAGCTCTTCTAAACTCAAGTTTCACAGAGAGGCACAGGCTAAAGCTAAATCATTATCTTTTCTCCAAATCTTTTTCTCCATTTCTTCATTGCTTGATTTTTTCTTTTTGGTCTCAGTGACTTTTTTTTATTTTAAAAATAAAAGCCTGGTTATATAGTTTGGCTTTTTTTTTTTTTTTTAATCTTTTCTTGCAGTTCTTTTCCATTTTTCCTATTGTTTTAACCTGGGGAGTTTTCCAGTCCTCCCTCTCCCCCACTATAGCTATTTTTCACCTCACTTCTCTCCTCTCACACTTTTCCTTTCCACAAAGGATGCAGAGATACATTTCCTGCTCTAAACCTGTTTACTGATATTGCCCCTGTTCCCGAGACAGGGCCTCCTGGAGATGAACTGGGTATTCTTGTCTCTCCTTTCTCCTTCAGGCCACTGCACCACCCTCTTCTGCACATGGACCAGATTTAGATATTTGTTTTGTGATGTTGTTCCAGAGTCCTTCTCATTACAGCTGCAGCACAGGTAAACGACAAACAAAGTTCATAACAATATTGAGATACATCAGGTGGTCTCCAGTTCTTGGGGAGTGCCAGGTTTAGAACGGTGGCATTTCTCCATGGTTAAATCCTCTTTGCACCAGGCTTTATATTCATTACTCTTAACAATGTAAATTTACAACCGCCTCCATTTCATCAGCAAAACAAGCAAAGAACATTAGCCCTTCAGTGATGAAATGCCAAAACACTGAAACCTCAGACTGTCCTCAGAAGGAAAAGCTTTAGAATGGTGATGTTAACCCTCCTCCAGCTTCTTAGTAAATTAGATATGTAAGCATGTAAACAACTGTAGCTCTTTATCCTAGTGTCTGTCATGAACTTTGGACATCACTCAGTGTTGAAGATCTCTTCCTGTTCCACCATTTTAAAATTAAAATACAGGAAATTTTATCATCCATTTCAGTGCAGCTTCCATAAATTAATCCTTCTTTGCATAAAAGAACACCAGTACTTTATTCTTAACACTTTTCACTTGCCATGCAGGATATCCATTTCAGTTTCTTTCTTTTAACCTGCTAATTTCTAATCCAGTAGAAACCCAAATGTGTAGGAGAGCTAATGGACTTCTCAGAGGCCTCCAAAGGTTGATGGCAGTGAAGTTTTGTTTAACACGTGAAGTTCCCCAGCACACAAAAGAAAAACTTCGTACCTGCTTAGGAAATGGGATGGAAGCCTACCAAGTGAAAACGGAAAATATAAGTTGGTTTGTGTAATGATGGAAGATTTCACAAATATCTACATGTACCAACTAACAAATATATCAGCTACACATGTACGCGTCTCTGAAGGAAATTTCAGAGAGATCCGTGTTGTACTTCAAGGTTTCTTGCCAAAAGTTTCCAAATTACAACCCACGGATCTCACATGGTCTTTAGAAAACTGGCTAACAGTACAGTGCGAACTGTTTTTCCCATTCCTAGTTGATAAACTGCTGTAGTGAGAACTAAAAATATATTACATCCCTGGTATTACTTTTTAATGCAAGCAATTACATCAGTTGCCACATGCCAATATGGAAATCTAAATGGGAAGCACAGTGACTCAGGAGGCAAACCTTTTTATTAATATGCATTTATTCCACACATGCATCTTGCTCTTCTCCCTAATGGCTGCCCTTGTCATATCTTTTTCTGCAGCTTTCAAGATCTCTTGGAGCATGAGAGCCTCATGTTACCTTCCTTCCGCCGGGGTTCCATGCAGAATATGGTCACACAATCCTATGTGGAACAACAGCTGCTGCACATCTGGAGTTAGTCTCCCCAAAATGCACAAATACAGGTAAAGGGCATGACAAATGTGGTACATACCCCAAATTAGCAAGTGGTTCATGTGTGGATGAAGCACTGAAATTTGCTTAGTGCATTACAAAGGGTAAAGACAAATAGCCTGTAATCATTTTGTCCAGATGATTTGTTGGTACAGACACTATTTGCAGGGAAAATATAGTGTGTGTGGGTTTATTCTTTTTCAAAACCATGGTATAATTCTCTCATATTCAGAAAGCATTATGTCTGGGTAAATATAACTGACTTTTTAAATTTGTATAGCTGTTGTTTGAAAAAAGTTGATGAACTATATATTTATATATTCTAGTAATTACATACTCAAAAATTCATAACAAAACTATGAATTGGGCATTACATTAGCCTTTTAGACCAATGTTTTAACATGTTACAGATACAATGACTTTCAAATGCCCATTTCTTCAACAGAATTTTAAAAGCAGTATTAAACCAAAATATTATGAAGCATTTTATACAGTGTTTTCTCAGAGTGCATCTGCTGAATCTTAATTGAAACTGTTGGTAGGAATACAAAAAAAAAATCAATAGATATTCTGAGTCACTGATGACACTGATTTACAGGAGCAGTGGCTTTTCACCTATTACTCTTCATTATGATGCAGGAGTGTGACAGTTAAAAGCCTTAGTTATGGCTCAGAACTACACACAACTCTCCAAGGAGTTAAATTTTCCACTTGACTCTTGCTGAAATAGCCAGCACCATAATTCATGCTAATATCTGGCCTAAAAAATAAAAAGAGAATGCAGATTTTTATTCACCAGATCTGTCAATAAATTAGTGACAGAACAGCCACCAGCCCGCACACTGTGGTTTTCTCTTCCACCCCCAAGATCAAATACAGCTCTTCTGCCTTGAAATACCAGCATGGCGTTGAATTCACCATGGTCATTTCCCAGCAGAATACATTTTATATTGCAACTCTGATTTGCCCTTGTGCCTACAGTTGAATAAGGTGAAAAAACACTCGCACAGGCTGGAAACAATTCCATAGGACTTCTCAACATGCAGCAGGCTCATAACGGGAGACAGATGAAGGCAATATGTACATTCCTAGGAGGAGATGCTCATTGGCTTGTAAACATATGTATCTTCCAGCAATAAAAAAATCAACCAAAGACCTTTAGAATAGATGATTTCCTGTGATTAATCTTCTGCCACAAAACAAATGTTTCAAAGATTAGAAGCAGGTATTAACTAGAAATGCTGCTGGGGCTGGAATTCTTGGCATTTCTAAAGAAATTATTCACCAGACGGGACTGAAAAGTTTCAATACCTTTTTGTGCTTGGTTATATTTACACAGGGCACTAGTAAATACTATTTACTTAGGGCACCAGTCCCCTGAAGGGGGAAGGGGATATAACCCGGCTTACTAGAGATGAGCCCAGGCGTGGCATGCCAGGGTCGGGGCTGAGATCGACAGCCCAGCTCAAGTGCATCTACACCAATGCATGCAGCATGGGCAACAAACAGGAGGAGCTGGAAGCCATTGTGCAGC